TTAGGATTTAGGGTCTAGGGTTTGTGATCTAGGGTTGGCTTACGATATGTGGCTGCAATCATCGCTATCAAAACACAGTGTCCCTTAAATAGATAGAAAATGGAATTGGCTTATATACGAATATGATCCCCATATGTCCCATATTCTATCTCCTTAAGGGGGACTATACCCTGAACTCGAAACCCTTAACCCTAAACGCTGTTCTATCTACTTAAAGGGGAACTACAAGCATCATTTCTCACAGCAAAGGTCTCGTATTCATCCCTCCGCCATGCAGAGCAACATGTCTCTACAAACTGGTCCAGAACGAGCTTTGGCTATTGCTGCCAGCTTTCTCGCGCTGGGGGTCTCCTCCATCTTCATTAGTGCCTTTGCGTGAGGAAAGAGGGTATAGGCTTTAGGGCCAGTCGTCGAGCTGTTGAGGCTGCATGCTGCAGTGTGCTTGAAATCTCCTACCCTCCCCTGCTGCACCCCATACTAAGGAAACTTTCAAAGGGAGCTCCATGCAGTTTCATATTAGCTTGAGGGAGGGTAGATGTTTTAGGACAAGCAGGCATGGAGTGCAAGGCCACAGTCACTTTGCCAGATTTGTAGGCAGCATCACCAACACTATGGCCGACATTGGCCGCGAGCGCCAGCGGAAGAAGCAGATTCTCCTCTCAGTGCGAGAGTATTGCGGTTCACATCGTATTTCCTCCGGCCACACGCTTCGCATCAAGAAGCAGCTTGTCAGCATTTAACCACACTCAACAAACACTTCGGAAACACTTCGGGGCGAATTTCTTGAGGGCCCCTGTGCACTTTGGCTTGGATGTGGGGGATCTTGATAGTTGGAAATCCCTCATGTGGCCCACTGGCTCGGAAGGTACGTGGAGCGCGAACATCATCGGAAGAAATCAAGGCAGCGACCTGGCTCAGACTATCTGAAGTCATAGTGAAGGGATATGAGCCATAATCTAAACTCCTTAAAGGGTATTATATAGGGGATTATATAGGAACTACTATAGGGGATATTAAGGGGGATACTAGGAGTTTAGACTATGGCTCATGATACCCCAAAAACTGCATTCTTTGTGAAGCATTTATATCATCGCTATCTCCTATATAAGCTACGGTCTACAACTCCTTAAAGGGGGATTGCATAGGGGAGCATTCTGGGGCTTATTTTGGGTGCGACTAGGAGTTTAGACAGTTTAGACTATAGCTCATATGTTTTCATGTCATACCCAGACTCCCTAAAGGATCCAAAAAATGGAGCCCCCAAAAATGACCCCCATTACTACATTGCGGAAACTAGGGGATTATTGGGAGGTTCCATGTTTTGGATCCTTTAGGGGATCTGGGTATATAAGAAGATGCCGAGGTTGCACTTGGAGTTGTTGGAGACCTTGCCGCAGGTACACGGTTTGATCTGCCATTTCAGCTGTCTGAAATCTTCGAACTGATTTTAGAGTGTGGGGGTTTTGGGGTTTGGGTTTATGGGATTTAGGGGTTGAGGGGTTTGGGGCGAATACAGTATTTCGGGTTTAGGGCTTTCGTGCGAGAACGTTCCAGAAGTGGAGCAGCGGGAGTGGGACTGAGGTCGTCACCCTTCTTCCCATGAAACCTCAGACCCCAAACGTTGAACCCTAAACCCTGCACCCTAGACACGAAAAAACTCTAGGACCCTAAAACCCTAAACCCCAAAACCCTACAACCCTACAACCCTAAACCCTAAAACCCTAAACCCTACAACCCAACAACCCTCAACCCTTAACCCTTAACCCTAAACCTCTAAAAGCCTAAAACCCTGAAACCCAGAAACCTAAGATTGCAAGAGCTGCTCCTTGCAGGACATGCTCTTTGAGCTCTTCCATGAGGGACGAGCCTCGGTCCAAGAGTCAGCTTCAGAAGCTTGAACAAGGTTTGGTGTTTAAGGTTTATGGTTTAGGGTTTAGGGTTTATGGGTTAGGGTTTAGGGTTTATGGGTTAGGGTTGGGGGGTTGGGGGTTTAGGGCTTGGGGTTTAGGGTATCCATTTTACATGGAGAATACAGGGAAAGCTGGGCTTAAGAGGGATATAAGGTTTGAGAGTAATGATTAACGTAATGGGACAAGAAAATAGAAAATGAAACGGCTACATTGGGTTATACTTATAGAGGTTTTTAATGCAGAAAGCTGAATATGCTTGCCGATGTTCTTCCCTCATATCCCCTATAGCTATCTAGTCTCCTCTACCCTAAACCCTAAACCCTTTACCTGTGGCGGAGCAACTGAGGCAGCCAAGCATTGCAGCACCATTCCCTGTTCGACCAGCTGGGTCGGATCGATCCTGTAATGGAGCTCAACTTCTGCAACAAGGCCTGAAGCTTGGGAAAAGTATTTACTACTATTATCACCTATTATCAATACTATTGTTAATACTATTATTACTATTTTCATCATTATTCATACTATCATTATTATCCGTATCTTTAATACCAGTATTAATACTGTGATTTTTATTAGTACTATTACGATAATGATGAGCTGAGACGGCTGGAGATGAATGCTACGGCGGTAATGCGGCAAGTCCATGCAGCAAGAACATGCTAGACATGGTGGTTGTTCAAAATACCTGTCCCCAAAATGACCATAATGTAGGTTCCCTGTTTGGTTAGGATCCTCTTTTAAGGAAGTGTATTCCCAATAGTCCCTACTTTACAAGGACGTTTAAAACAACCCCCACATGATTTGATTTGCCAGCTACTGCTCGGAGTTGCCAGTGGGCCGTTTGATAAAGAAACATGTGGATGGCACCTGCCCGCTATTCAGTGATTTACTGCCAAGAGCCACATACCGTGTAAGTGTACTCTCGTCCCCCGAAAATTGAACCCCGCCACCAACCCCCCCCCCCCTCCGCCCTTATTATTTATTTACAATAGACCACACGTGGGAGTATTTAACATAAGGGGGGTGTGGGGGCGGGGTTAATATTAGGGGGAAGAGATGACTGAGGTTGTCACGGAGCTTCATGTCATCGCTCTGGACAAGGTGTTCAAATCAGGTGACACTGGCAAGGCAGGGTCCCTGTATACCACTCTTGTAAGTATCCCTATCCCTATTTATTGTAGTATTATGTTATTGCTTTATGGCTTCGTATATTCTTATATTATTATGATAGAATGGGTTGATATTGGGATATTGGAGAATTAAATGAAAAGGAAAACGGAAAATTAAAGGGACGCTACTGTATATACATATATATATATATCGGGATATATAAATCTACAAGGTGATATAGGGATTACACAGCAGGGTTGTTACCCCACTATTGGAGAATCAAATGGAAACGAAAATTTTAAATAGATCGGGAGTGTATGCCTGAGCGTGTAGGCATGGCCTTCTGGGTTTAGGGTTTAGGAGGGATCACTAGTTAGTTCTTTTGCCGTGTGTCGTTTTGCTGGCCCACAATCGACACTGACATTTTCATATACCGCAAAACCCTAGACCCATAACCATGAACCCTAAACCCAGGACCCTGAACCCCATAATAATGACAACTGCGTCCCATGTTGCTTTGCCTTGAACAGAGTGCCGCATGCACCACCAAGGGCTTCAAGGACTCAAACCGCTGTATAACGTCTATGCACACGCAGTTTGCATCTCGTTGTCCATCGGATCGATGGCTGTCTTCTATCCTAAACCCTAAACCCCTAGATCCTAAACCCTTAAACCCAAAAACCCTAAACCCTTATCCCCAACCACTCTTTTAACCATCAGCCAAAGCTCCCCTAAACCCTCAACCTCACCGTGACTTGCCCACTTGCCAGGGAGCCTATTATAGCCTCATTAAGGAATAGACCTTAAACCATATTAAGGGTCCTAGTATAATTTAAAGTACATTCCTTGATCAAACTATATTGAGCTTTCTCGGTTCTCAGGCCATGTACATTCCTGCTACCGGGCAGTGCTACTACGAGTACCTGCCGCCAGACCTTCCAACAGCCCCCGCACCGCAGACAAAGCGCAGCATAGTGAGCCAGTTCATTCGGAGGCTGAGTCTGAGCTCCCTGGGCAAGCATTCATCTGGGTAGGCCCCTGAAATATTTAGATATTTTCCCTAATGGCTTTAATAAGGGACCCTATATACTAATATTTTTCAAATGGTATTAGGGGCCAACCCAGTATTACAAGTAAACTTGTAACTACTGTTCCTGATCGTTTTATCAGTATTACTGTTATATTTATTACTAAATGTAGTCGTTTCAATTTTGTTTTTCCATTATCCCTATATTATCACCCCAAACCCCTAAACCCTAAACCCCAAAACCTAGAAGTATTACTGTCCTGAAGCTAGACGGCAAGTTTCTGAAGCTTTCTACTGCCGAGGAAGTCTCGAGTCTAAAGTGGCGCCGCACCTCGTCTGCAGATTTGGTCTTAGGTTTTATGGTTGAGGGCGTTTAGGGTTTAGGGTGTAGTGTCCAAAATAGTACTAAGGGAATAGGGCTTAGGGTTAAAATTTTTCGTTTCCCAAACTAAGGCCCAATACAGAATATAGACCCCAATATACTATAATCCTTAGTATTCACCTCGCCACCTCCCCGAAAAAACACGAAAAAAAAAGACATCGTACTGCTAGCAAGTCCCCATCTCTGTTAGTGGGACGTCATTCACAACTGTGGCTCTAAACACGAAAACCTAAGCCCTAACCCTATGCCCTGAACCATGAACCCTAAGCCCTAAACCCCAAATCCTAAACATTAAAGTATCCTTGAAATGGACCCTGAGCTTTCTTAGGACGGATGCGGCCACTATCAGCCCTGTGTGGCAGAACGAGACCTGGAGTTGGAATCATTGAGGGGGTAGAGTTTAGGAGTTTAGGAGTTTAGGGGTTTAGGGCTTAGGGGTTAGGAGTCTAGGGCTTAGGGTTTAGGAGTTTAAGGATTTAGGGCTTAGGGTTTAGGGTTTAGGAGTTTAGGGTTTACAGCGTAGGGTTTAGGGTTTAAGGTCTAGGGTTTAGGGTTTACGGCTTCGGGCTTAAGGTTTAGGATGCGTAGTTCCCAAAATCAGGGTCCACACTTTGGTGCTCCCAAATATTAGGCGCCGTACTATAACTTACATAAACAGAAAAAAGGCCAAAGCTTTGAGAATATACCCGTGTGTTTCTGAAGCTCTAGATTGTCGTTGAGAAGATGCACAAGATGTTGCAAGATGCTGCACAGAAGATCTATGATTTCTGTTATTAGTCATTACTGTTTATTTCAGATGTATATGTATATGAACATGTGTTACCATCGTTGCAAGATAATATCTTATTTCATTGTTGTTGTTACTTTCACTATTACTGTGATTGCTTAGGTGGACCCCCCACCCAGTAATAGTGACTATAGGGGATTATATTAGGGTCCTCTTATATTCCTATTATACGACTATTACAGGGTGGGGGGTCCTCGTAAGTTATTATTGCCTTCAAACCGTAAACCCTGAACCCTAAACCCTAGCTATTCTCTGAGGAGTGCTTGAGCGAATGCTCTTTGTGGGTGCACGGATGGAAGCATAGAGGTTGCTCGGAAATGCAGACAGATCTCAACTGGGTTTAGGGTTTAGGGATTCGTGAAATTAGGTTTAGGGTAGAGCTATAGTCTAAACCCCTAAAGGGTTGAGGGTTTAGGGAACAGGGTTTAGGGTTTAGTGAAATTAGGTTTAGGGTTTGGGGTTGAGCTATAGTCTAAACTCCTAAAAGGGGGTTAGATAGGGGATTATATAGGGGAGTATTGTAGGGGTTATAAAGCGGGATACTTCAACTCGGAGTTTGGACCAAAGCTCAATAGGGATCTCCAAAAAATGTGGCCCCCTTGGGGGGGGACCTCCATAAGAACGGTTACATTTACCGTCTGTTTGGGCAAAAGTGAGGGCCCCCCTAAACCCCAAACCCTCATCCCTAAACCCTCATCCCTAAACCCTAAACCCTTAAACCCCAAACCCTCATCCCTAAACCCTAAACCCTTAAACCCTCATCCCTAAACCCTAAAACCCTAAAAAGCCTGGGCTGAGGCAACTTGCAGGCCGCATCAGATGGCAGACTGATCACCGTGCAGGTGAACAAGTTCGGCGAGTTCTTGCAGCCCGGAAAACTTTAGGGCTTAGGCTTGAAGGTTTTTGGGGTTTAGGGTTTAGGGTTTAGGATTGAAGGTTTTGGGGTTTAGGGTTTAGGGTTTCCGATTGAAGGTTTTGGGGTTTAGGGTTTAGGGTTCAGGGACCATTAAAGGGGGGTTGTATAGGGGGATATATAGGTTTACATAGGGGTTATATTAAGCTAAATAGGGTTCAGGGTTTAAGGTTGTTGTTCTGTTATCTTCTCGGGTCTGTGGCAATGCCATCAGAGACTTGCATTCCTTGCTACAGCTTATGAAGTTAGGATGGTACAAGAGCACATCCTTGCCGCTTTCGTGGGGCTAGGCGTCACCAATGATTGATAATACTGTCCGTATTTTTCCAGTATTACAATCATGTTTTCCTAGTATTCATTTCATTTCTATTATTGCGATTATTTCTATGATTACTATTGTTACTTGTAAGTTTGATGGCAAGCCTCAGGCAAGATTTTCCGGGAACGCTAGTGGACACGGCCGCGACCCCAGCTGGAAAGTGATACAGTCCAAGTGAGCCATAGTCAAAACTCATGAAACGCGGTGTAGGGTGTAGGGTTGAGGGTTTGGGGGTTAGGATTTAGGGTTTAGGGTTTGGGGGTCATCTAGGGCATTCTATAGGGGAGTATTATGGGGGTTACTTAGGGGATACTGCGGTTTAGACTGTAACTCAAATCAGGTTCGTGATTACGCGATTTCTGATTGGTATTCTTGGTCATGGGTCTATGCTAGGTGGGCCCCACCCCCCACCCCGTACTAGTGATTATTCGGGATAATGGTAGCTATACTACGGCCGTCCTACATATTACAGGGTGGCAGTCCACCAAAGGTCCAGTAACTCTGAATCCTAAGTCCTTAAAGCATAGACCCTGAACCCCAAATCCTAAACCCTACTCAGAAAGCCAAGACCATTGTTGAGCTTTCTATGTGCAGTGGCCTGAAAGCAGATCCGAGTTGCACTACTATTATAATTAGTGCTGGTATTATTTTTACTACGGGTATTTTTTCTTTCAGTACTACTCACTACTATTATTATTACTAGTAGTACTATTATTACCTGTATAAATATCATAGGAGTTCCCTGGGTCAGGTCATACAACACGGCAATCTTTGGATTGTAGGTTTCCAGGCAACAAAGCGCAAGAAACATAGTCAACAGGCAAAGCTTGCTAATCTGACTCTGCAGATGATGCTGTAGCAGCTCGTTCAACAGAGGGCTTTTCCAAGAATAGGCCGCATGCCATCGACGGAGCTTAGACAAAAATAATGTTTCCCTAAGTCCGGGGAACCCAGTACTATGGACACCAAAATACTATATAGTCCTTACAAGAAGGTATCCTTAACTTTGGGAAGCCCGCAAATGCGGCTGAGAAATAGAATACTTGCGTGCTGCGGCAGCGAGACCGCAACCGTCCTCCTGTAAAGTTAGGGTTTAGGGTTTATGGCCTGTGCCTTGCAGCACTATTTGGGTTTTATTGGGGATAGATATTGGGATAATGGAAAAGAAAATGGAAACTACAGAGATTATTGGAGTTATATGGGGAATATAACTTTAGGGTGTAGGGTTCGACTCGCCTGGTATGCCACGAGGTGAGAATATAGTCCCCAGTATCGGGTGAGATTATATCCTTATTTAGGGTTTAGGGTTATTTTGGTGATGGTGTGTTCTACTCAGAAGAGTATAGCCTTCTTCGGTTGACCCACCAAGAGACCGAAAATCAGGTGGTGTACGCTCGCTTTTACATGGACGCGCTGAACAAGCACTTGATCATGGGAGACGTCCTCTTGATTTAAGATGTGATGCGTGCATTTGATGGCGAATCAAATGGAAAATGATATCGAAACTTGGGGTTCATCTGTGCATATCTATACATATCTGTGTATCGTTAAGGATAGCAGTTACGGTTTGGGTTTTTCTAGTCTGGATCCCTAAACCCTAAACCCCAACCCCGAATCACTGAACCTGAAACCTTGGTCTCCGTGTGCCAAGGAGCAATTACCGACTTGCCTCTTCCAGGATCTGAAGCTGGGTTATTTTTAAGGAACTTAAACTAAGTTACCATCATATGGGTACATAGGGTTTAGGGTTTCAGCTGCCAGAATATGGGTACATAGGGTTAGGGCTTAGGGAAGTCTAGGTTCCAAGTTCTAAGTTACCCTTATCTGGGGATAAAGTAACTGATAGGGTTTCCTTACTGTAGTAACCTAATTTCATAAAGTAGGTCCTTGGGTTACAGATAGTATAAAATTGTATAGGGACTTAAGGACAGGAACCCAACATCTATAGGTAACTGGGCTTTTAGGGTAAGTTCCCCAACAGCGACCCAGGAAAGGGAGGAGACCTCGACATCCTGGCACGTGATGTCTGCGCTGAATAAGACGTTCCGAATGGCACCTCATCCTACTTCTTTTTTTGTTTGTCGGGGTCTGGTTGGGGTCTAGGGTTTAGGTTTTAGGTTTTAGGGTTTAGGGTTGGGGGGGAGAGTTTTGACAGAGGCTCTCAGGGCTTGAAATGCGGTATGTATGCGTTTGAGCTATTTGGCCTCACAGCAATAATAGTAATTCTAGTAACAATAGTAATAATAGCAGCAATAACAGTAGTAAGTCTAATAATTGTTGCGGTAATAGTAATAAATGCTACTATAGGAATAATAGTAATAAGTTATAATACTCAGAGTAATAAATTATGGCAATAGTAGTAGTAATGATGTTATGGCATTCTGGCATGGTCAGAACTCCAATGCCTTACCGGCGGTTAGACCTTTTTTACCTTTTCATTTGGGGGTCTCCTTATTAAAGCTGAATATCAGGAAAAAGGGTACCCTTATCATTAAGGGGTTACACCCCTAAACCCTAAACCCTAAACCTGAAAAGAAATACCCTAAACCCTAAACCCTAAACCTTAAAAAAGATACCCTGAACCCTAAACCCTAAACCAGAAGCCCCTTAACTACTCCATTCCGTGGTTCCCTATCAGGTAAACCCTGCTGAAGAAGCGCTTGCGCAGTGAGTCTACATGCGATTTTCTCAAAACAAGGGTTCAGGGTTTGGGGGTTTGGGGGGTTTAGGGTTTGGGGGTTTAGGGTTTAGGGTTTGGGGGTTTTGGGCGCCCTAGACAATCATGGGCATTGCATAGGTGTCCTAACTTAGGATTGAATAGGCTTTTGAGAAAGTCGCGCGTGCTCCAAATACACGCTTATCAGGACCAAGCCACAAATGTTTAATCCTGTGGGTTATGCTTGGGGTCGCTTCCAAGAATCATGGGTCTTGAAAAAATTCACGGCAAGCCTTCTTTTTCAAAATAAATTTCCCTGACTTTCTTGAAGGGGTAACTCTATAATCAACAAATCCTAGATAATTCCTACAATATGTCCCTCCTAGGTCCCAAGAGGCCGCTGCTCTAGGAAAGGAGAAGAGATAAACGTAGGGTTTAGGGGTTTCGGGGTTTAGGGGTTAGGGTCTAGGGGTTTAGGGTTTAGTCTGAACTCCGGGAGGGTTTACAGGGGATTATGATTAAAAGGAACGACTATATGGGTTTCTGAGAGGGATAGCAGGAGTGTAGACTATGGCCCACTCATCCATTCCGTACTAGTTGTCCACTCTAAACCTTGAACTCTACATGAGCCATTAGCTAAACTCCTTAAAGGGGATTATATAGGGAATTATATAGGGGACTACTATAAGGGTGATTAAGGGGCATACTAGGAGTTTAGACTATAGCTCACATAACACTGCAGTTTCTTTGTTTTTTTCATTCTTCCATTCCGTACTAACCACAAGTAGCCATATTGATTTGGAAGTTATCCATTCCCCAGCTCGGCCGAAGGCCAGTGTTGTGCCCAGACCTGCTTTGTTTCTTTGCGAGATCTCGCGAAACGACTTGCTGGTGATTGAGTAGAGAATGGAGGAAAGGATCCTACAGTAGCCTTTCTAGCTTCATGTCAGACATCCTGGTATGGGAGTTTGCATGTTCTTCTCCATGTGGTAGTCTCCATATAGGGGGACCCCAATGTAGACCCTAATATACTAGAATCCTTATCATGGGGATCCCCAACACGGACCCCTGATTTTTGGGAAAGCTCCATGTCTTCATTCCCTAAACCTGATAGCCCCTGAGCCCTGAACCTTAAATCCTAAGCCCTAAACTCTAAGCCCCAAACCCTCAGCCCTAAGCCCTAAACCCATTCCCTACCAACAACCAGTCAGACGAGCCTGGCATCACTATTGAAACCGGACTCGCTGTACACACTACAAGGGACTGCCAAAGGCATTCCGGTACCCTCATTCCATATGGGGGGCTTCAAAAAGGAGAGGCCCCAATATACGCCCTAGGCTCTAGGGTTTAGGGTATATGGTTTAGGCTTCATAAAAGGAACTCCCAAAAAGGTGCCCCTACTTGTTGGATACCCTCATTTCTGAGGGGACTGTGGCATGGTGAGGCGGTGCCACACTGTCGCAGACCACGGCCATGTTGCTCAGAAGACCTTTTTCCCGCCGTCGGGCAGTTGTCAAATAACAATTTGGGTCCCTTGTTCTGGCCCATGTCACGAGATGCCTTAAAGACACCTGGGCCAATTGGTAGTTTCCCAAAATAAAGGAACCCCAATATAGACCCCCAAATACTATAATCCTTATTATGGGGACCCCAGTAGGGTACATCTAATTTTGGGAAACCCCCAATTCCTTTGACAACTGCATGTCGAATGTATCTAGACGGTAGCTGGGACATGACACCAAGAGCCTTAAGGCCGCAAAAGCCGCCTTAATTGGAGAATCAAACGGAAAAGAACCTTCAACATGACATGGAAACTGAGCTTGTAATTAATACGAATAATTGTACTAGTAGACTAATCAGAATAGTAGTAATGGTAACAATGGTACTAGTCCTACAGGAACTTTTTCCGAGCTGGCAATGTGGGAGCCTAAACCCTAAACTCTGAGCCCCAAACCCTAAACCCTAAACCCCTAAACCGTAAACCCCTAAACCCTAGCCTAAACCCTAAACAAACATGAAGCCTTGGGAGACTGCCCGTCTCCTAGCCTGCTGCAAAGGGCGGACTTCTTTCGCAAGGGTCCGTTCGCGAGAATCCAGAACCCAAGGTAAATACTATCTCAAGACTTTTGGGTTTAGGGATTAGGGTTTAGGGTTTAGGGGTTCTGAATCCCACAAGTTATGCCCGTTTGGCTGTGCAGTGACTTGCGCCAAGGTTTCTCCTTTTTTGCCAGATCCGCATTTTCACTCGATTCGGTCAGGCGCCACTTCGCCAGCTTGTTCCCAGTACTACCAGGTTTCGAGAGATACAACGAGCGCAAGACACATGAGACATATGCACATGTACAGACATGTGTATGTACGGAATTATATATATATATATATACATGTAGGTGTGTGTATGCTAAGATGATTATGGGGATGCCTATTTAAGATTCAGAAAGGTACGCAATACGGCCTGTGTTTTCCACGTTTGGCAGCCTACATGTTACAGGACTCTACAAAGTTCATTTTGTAAGCTCTTGTGACTTCGTGAGTTAGAGAAATGAATCAAATCACTGCGTTTTCTTCACTTCGAGTCATAATTTATATTTTTCTCTTCGCTCACTTCACTCTCTCCGTTTGTTGTGTAATGTGTGAGTGGAGCGAAGAGAAGTAATGAAATGAGCCCAGGAACACAACACAAGAAAGAGAGAGAGGGAAGGGACGAGGCTTGGTCATTAAGGTCTCATGGCGTGATTTAATTTGGTGTGTGAGCGCTTAATTCACTTCATTCATTCGCTCAGTACACGAAATTAACTCACGACACCACAGCAACAACCGTATCATCC